CCTGAGGTCAGACTGGCCTACTCTTGCTGGCCTTCTGGAAGAGCCTGAGGCTTTACCTGGGGATCCATGAACGTGGATATGGAGCCTGTAAAGTGGCTATATTACTAGTGTGCTGTCCTGAAGATTATGGTTTTGTTTTTGTTTTAAATGATTTTTCTTGTTATGTTTTTGATTATTTCGTTGGATCGTTTTTCTTTGAACTTTGACTGCCAATCAGAGTCAGATATGTGAGATGGACAGCTATGCAAACTTAGCAAACAAACAAACAAATATAAACTATATTACCACTGACTTCTCCCAACCCTCTACCTCTGTCGACCTAATTGTTCTTTCTAGCAACATCTGCACAATACCTCTCTCTTTGTTTCAGTCTCCTACAAGGAAGAAAGAGAAAGGGTGTTGATTTTTTGGATTAAGCACTTGCAAAGGAAAATAAATAAATAAATAAATAAATCATTGTGCACATATGTAAAAAAAAAAAAAGGCTTCTGAATTCTGTGGCATGCTCTGAATATCTGAAATACAGGATATCTGATGTTGTTGTGTGATTACATAGACTTATTAACATATTATCAAAGCAAGAACTTTTGAAGAGGTACTTGTTCACCATTATTCGTTTTCTTTGGAAAGAAGCCTAGAAAGGGTTTTGTGATACTCCACACTTCCTCCAATTACATCCTGTCTTTAAAAGACCAATCTCTCTCTCTTCTTACAGATAGAACTGACTGAATATATCTGTAAACACAAAGATACTATATCTTCTAAGCTTGATCATTGCTATGGGTTGCCTCTGGTGGAAAGACCAAAATGCGTTCAACTTTTAGAAAATGATTAAAAGCCTGCTCCCCCAGACCACCCATCCAAACAAATCATAAATCAGACAGAAGTATGTCAATCTTATAGGGAACATAAAGATGAACACATGGAAAGGTATGCAAAACAGATTCCACACTCTCCTCCCTCCCATTAACTGGTGGAGCTAGATGGTGCAAAATAATGCAGGTAACATTCTCTGTTGTGCAGAATGAAATGGTCTTACCCTCTCATCAGATAGAGTGAGATAATGGGTATTCAGAGGACAGCCTTAGAAGTTCCCCCTAAGTGTCACTTCTGAACCTGAAGCAGCTCCTTCCCAAGGAAAATAAAATATTGTGCATCTCATAAACTTTCTCTCACCTCCTCAATTACCTTCTTGGAGGATTCCATTGCATTGCCAGCACTGAAACAAGATCCAGCTGCAAGTCCAGTTGGGTTTTGGAGATACAAGCGAGAAGATGTCATTATCCTTTGCTTCAGGTAGCAAAAATGTTCAGGCAGATGTGATTGGGGTTCGAGATGGAGGAAGCATAAGTAGGCTAATCTAGAGATCAATGACTGGAACTAAACAGCTAAAGAATCTCTCTAATGCAGGAGAGGAATAGGGACAGAAAAAAAAAGAAGCAAAATAGTAGTTAAATAGCAAAAAGATCTGGCAAACCAAACCTGGGTAGAGGAGCAACATGGATGGATTCAGAATTGATGTTGGAAAAGATTGACATTTAAGTCATCCAAAGCACT